TTTTAAACAATGGGACTTATGTTTTCTTCAATCGATGGGATACAGATGGTTCTTGAGGCCCCAGGAGGGTCCACAAAATGCTATGCTATCTGAAATATTGCAAAACTTCAGTATCATTAATACTTGAGATAGTTTTCCTGGGGCAAGAAATATGAAGAGCTGGGGAACATGTCCTCTGCCCTCACCTCTGTTACAGGGATAAGAGTGTGTCACACACCCGGATGGTGTGGTTTGCTCGACACTAGTTGATCTAGAGCAGAGGTTCTTAATGTTTTTAGGGTCAGAGACTGCGTTGAAAACACAATACAAGCTATAGACTTTCTTCCCAGAAAAAAATGCGTGTAGACAAATACATGGGTAAAATTTTGCAACAATTTCTGGGGTTTCTGGATCACCCTAAGGCCCACCGATAGGTCTAGAATCTCCCCTCACCCCTCACCCCCATCTTGGCAGAGTTTAGGTGCTGTGTGTGGCATGTGTGTAGGACTGATATTGGCAAAAAGAGGAGAAAGCACTGTCCTGGTACCTTTTGCTGCCATTAACTCTCCCTGTGCTAAGCGCTGGTTAAGTATTTGCTGGCTGATTAGTATCTGTGAGAAGGCCTCGGGGACAGGAGAGGTGAGAGAGAAGACACGTGTGCGTATTGAAAGGGGAATGACCGGGCATACAGCTGGTACACTTCCTGAAAATGATGCCTCTGTGGGGCTGGGACAGTTCTGATTGGCCAGGAGATGATGGTCTTTTAGTAGGTTAAGTCCAGGATTATCCTGAGTTGGTATTTTATGTATTTTTCCCGTTTTTTCTTAATTTTTCTTTTTTTATTGAAGTGTAGTTGATTTACAATGTTAGTTTCAGGTGTACAGCAAAGCGATTCAGTTATACATATCCATCTATATCTATCTATCTATCTATCTATCTATCTATCTATCTATCTATCTATCTATCTATTTATATATTTATTTCAGATTCTTTTCCATTATGTTATTACAAGAAATTGAATAGAATTCCCTGTGCTGTGTACTAGGTCCTTGTTTATCTGTTTTATGTATACTGATGTGTATCTGTTAATCCCAGACCCCTAATTTATTCCTCCCCTGCTCTTTTCCCTTTGGTAACCATAGTTTGTTTTCTAGGTCCCTGAGTCTAGTTGTGGTTTGTAAATAAAATTTTTATCATTTTTTAAGTTCCACATATAAGTGGTATCATATAATATGGTTATTTCTCTCCTGGCTTACTTCACTTAGTATGACAGTCTCCAGGTCCATCCATATTGCTACAAATGGCATTATTTCATTCTTTTTTATGGCTGAGTAATATTCTGTTGTATATATACACCACACCATCTTTATTCAGGCATCTGTCAGTGGCCATTCAGGTTGCTCCCATGTCTTGGCTATTGTATATAGTGCTGCTATGAACATTGGGGTGCATGTGCCTTTTCGAATTAGACTTTTCTCTGGATGTGTGTCCAGGAGTGGGATTGCTGGATCATATGGTAACTCTGTTTTTAGTTTTTTAAGGAACATCCATACTATCCATCATAATAGCTACACCAGTTTACATTCCAGAGCTGGTACTTATTTTTGAAGAACCCTCCTGAGCATTAAGTTCATAAGCCTCCTTCTCTAGGGTGGCAGTGGGTAGGAGGGGGGTCTGCTCTTTGCTTCAGCCACAGCAAAAGAAAACTCTGACTTAAACTGGCTTAGAACATAAGGAAATGTGTTCCTAAAGTAATACATAAATGCAACCTGCCCTGAAATCTCTGGTATTTTCCTTCCTCTGTGTACTGGGTTCATCCTAGGAGTGAAAAGGAGACAGTTCTACACACGATCGCCAAACAGGAAGGTGGCCAGAGAAGATAAAAAGCCATCTCCTAGTTGGTCTCTTTCCCTGGAGCAGGGAGACCTTTCCCAGGAACCCCGTGGTGGACAGCACTCTGTGGCTCAGTGGCTGTTTTTTAAACCAGTCCCTGGCCAGGGGGAGGCAGGAGCTGTGACTCCCACCAGTGCTCAGGATCTCTGTCTGGAACTGGAGATGAGGTCACCCTCCCCTGATGCACGTGGAGGAGGGGTAGCTCTGTGAAAACAAACAAACGAACAACCACAGCAACAAAACCCCTCAGGGCTACGATGAAGGAAGAAGAAGGGCCTGGATATTAAGTAGACAGAACTAATGATCATTGCATCTTTTATTAACTGTTTTGACTAAAGTAGAAAAAGTGATGTTGGTATTTTTATAATCCAGATACATCTCTGTTGTTTTTTCCACCACTGCACGTGAGACACGTTCACGTGCTTAAGTCCACCTAAGTGAAGTTCTGAATAGATTTTCAGTCCACGTTGGGACTGGTTGCCAGTGCTCCCACTGAATTTACTTCTGGACCCTACAGTCATGCACAGTTAAGAGAAAGGTGAACTATAACCCACTTGCCTGAACTGTCCATTATTTGTAACAGTGCTTTTCTTCATTGGTGGGTTAATTGTTAATTGACATGGTTACATATTAAATGCTTATTTTGAGAATTTCGACATGTAGCTTACAAAGTAATACGTATCTTCATTTCTTCATGTGTACCTTCAATGTGAAAAATTTAGGAGTAAAAGGTACACACAAAAGAGTTCAAAATGCTTCTGAGAGTCATAATTAATTTAAATAGTAAGATTTTTCCAGTGGGGCATATTGAACCCAAGGGAAAAGTCCTGATAACTAGGAAATTGATTCTGAATGATGGATTTGTAAGACGAAAGATAACTTCTTTTCTGCAGAGGATATTAATATTCTTCATCCAAATTTGGAGTTCCAGCTTCTGAAGATGTCACTTCTCTTTCATAGCGTAAGAAAAGGGGTGAGAGTCAGTGTGGAAAGAGGTAAAAAGGAGACATTTTATGGATTCTCCTCCCAGCTCTTTCAAGGCTTTTCCTTGGCAATTTGAGCCAGTCCCGGCCTTTCTCTGATGTATATAATTGTAAGGGAAGATGAAATAGTGTGCGCGCGAGTGCTTTGAAAATTCGAAAGCAGTAAACTGCTGTAGGGTATTTATTGTTGTGGCCGTGGTGTTCTGATTATTACACTTGAAGCAGAACTTGAAATATTAATGCTGCCCTTGTTAATCAATGGGGAAGTTTCAGTGGAAACTGCTTTCAGAAGATGTCGAGTTGTCACTGCCGTCTATGTAACTGACACAGAATTCCTAACCCACTTTCCGTCTTGCTTATCCCCCGACCACAGAAAGCTGTTTTACTGTAGAGGTAACAGTTGTTCTCTCCTCTGTCCTGAGGCCAATGATTATATAATATGTATCAAATCACTAGGGTGCATATCAAAGGGAGCATAAAGAGGCAAATATTTCCCTTTACAATGACCGTATAAGAGATTATTTCTGTCAAGGGAGAAAACATACGTGAAGTCTGACTGTTTCACTGCGTTTTTACTATAGGCATCACTGAGCTTGAGATTTGTACATCAGCTCCTCTCTGGTCCTGTGACTGGCGAGGGTGTCTGTGTTAAGAGCCCTGCACATTTCTTGCTGAGTCTGAATTCAAGCTTTTGTGTTTGTAAAACAAACTGTTCTTTAAATCCTGGAGGAAAGATATGTTGTATGCGACTCTCTGAGCTAATCTTTCTGTGTGCCTGTGGCTTAATTTCTTTAGTTAATAGGAGATGAGGCAAAACTTACGAATTTTCCTCATTAGGTTATCCTTCTCAAAAGCACAGGAGCTCTGCAGAAAGTTTTGCCACTTCAGGAATTCTCTTAGCGTTTCGATGTTTTCCTGTGTGCACAGCCCATTGGGAGGGGATGATGGACCAGCCAGCCGATTAACTAAGCTTACACTGAGTGTTTCGTCCTTCTTCTGGGTGCTGGTGATTGGATGGGAAGCAAACAAGACACTGTCCTCGTCTTCCTGCAGCTTACTGATCATTGGGGAAGAAAGGAATCATTTGAGAATCTTAAAAATGTAAAATTTCATCTGTGACAAGTCAGTGAAAGAGGAGGACAAAATTCCTGATTTGGGAGGACAGGAGAGTTGCCCCGAGGAAGTGATGATTCACCAACAGTTGACAGAAGTGTGAAACAGGCCAAGCGGGGATGTGGAGTGTTGGGAGTGGATCGAAGAATGTTCCATTGGAGGAAACCCAAGTTCAAGTTCTGCAGCAGGAGGGCCACAGGTGTGCTTGAACATTGACAGGGATCAAGGAAACTGGAGGACAGAAAAGAAGGGTGTGTGGCTGCATTATTACCAAGATGGGGTTGATGTCCACATCTCCAGTGTGTGAGATCCTTGTAGTTTTTGTGGGATGACTGCATCCCCGGGGGGCAGATGTGGTTGGACTAACCAGTCAGGGTAATCCTATACCCCTCATCGTGGTTTCTAATTTGGGTCAGTGATGTCTGTGCAAATCTGTGCAGGCTATTCCCTGACTTCAAGGATTAGTTCAATGATGGTTCCAATCAAGGCAAAGTTCAGGAGGAATTTTGCTCTTTTGTGAACTGAACTCTCTGTGACTATGTCGACGATAAGGAAGCAAGAAGGTCCAGGACTTCTATCATCATGATGGATTCCAGCTGTAAGATGAAGGTGTCACGGGGATGGCAGAGTGGAGGGATGGGAGGAAACTTTATCCTTGTTAATGTGGTGGATCCACTGGATATGTAAGTCCTAAAACCTGCCTTGTCTGCAGACTTCCCACTTATCTGGGCCAGTAAATTCTCTATATAAGGGGGCTCTCCATTTAAAAATCATACCTCAAATCGCTTTTATCTGTACGTCTCTCTTCTGAACTCCAGACCCACGTAGTCAGTTACTTTACTTGATTTTATATTTAGGTGACCAATGGACACTTGGAACACAAAATGTCTAAAATATATTCTTTTTTTTTTAAACTATCCCACCCCCAACCTGCATCAATATCCATGAGACAAAAACCTGGGTATAATCCCAGACGGCACTATTTGCCTAAGTTTCCCAGGTTAGTTGGTAAACCCTGTTCTCTTTCCCCAGCGTAATCCTGCATTGTCTGTTACCTTGATTATGGCAATAGTTTTTTGCCTTCTTAACTAGTCTCTTTATCTCTAAGTTCTCACCTTTAAAACCCACCATCCCCGCTGCTACCATTTCCAAAATGCAACCACGAACCTGTTGCTTCTATACTCTGGTGCCTGCCCAGAGCTTCTAGAACAAACAGTAAACTTCGTGCTTTGTCCATGGCCACGTCTTCCTCCGGCCCCGCCCAGAGTCAACATTTCTTCATTGGCGGCCACTGTGACTTTAACACCTCTATTCTCCAAGCTCATTGTGTGTGCCTTTGCCACTTCCTGCAGCGGATATGGTCTCCTATGCTTCGGTGCCTTCCCACGTTCGTTCTTCTGTCCTTGGAAGGCTCTGGGTTTTATAAGCTTCGGTCAGACAGAAAAGAACTGCCGATATATTACCAAGTTGGCAGGCCCCCCCTGCCATCTAAAGTCATGCTTGGTTGCAATGTCTTCTGGGACCTTGGGCAGCACCAGAGACCTGTGGATGTTCCCTGGCTTTTCCTACCACCCTGCCCCCCACCCCAGGCACATGTCCAAGCTTGACACCAGCTACTGATGGCCCTTGTCACTGAACTATTATCAGGGACCTCATCTGAATCCAAGAGCTGTCCCAGCTCCTCCGAGGTCTAGACTCACTCACTGGGCTGTCCACAGCTCAAGAGGGAATGGATTACCTTGGTCAGGGCAGGTGTGTGAGGAACCACTGATTTAAAGAGCATTCATAACTTACCCCAACCCTTAGGCACAAGTCTGTTTTTTGAGAGAGTGTGGTGTGTAATTTCTGAAAGGCCTCCTGTACAGAGTGTTGCATTGGCTGTGTAGAGGTGAGGGTGGTGAGGAATGTGGAATATATTTATTAAGGAAAGTCAGGTGCGCGGAGGAGCAAAATGAAAGACAGCAAAAACAATGAGCGTGGTGGGAGGGACCCCCCCCGCCCCCCCAACACACACACTCCGTTCAGATGTTTCCAAGGAGCAGCTTTCTGTGTTTCGGGGAATATACGTGTAATATGCTGAGAAAAAGGAATCCAGATGCCCTTTGCTTTTAGAAGCAGCCTGGTTTTTAGTGCAGGGGATCACAGGCGACAGGATTTTTGGCCAATCACTTAGCATCGGCGAGGCCTGATTTTCATCTGTAAGATGAGCAGTAGTGATTGTGAGAATTAAATGAGGCAGTTTGAGTCAAATGAAATACTTTTCAATGAATGATTCTTTTCATTGGAGTGGCGATGTTTAATAATTTGCTTTTCAGGGAG